ATAATTTCAAAAAGATAACTTAAGCTGCATATGTGGTCCATATAATAAACACCCTAAATTCTTTGGCCCTCATCTGATATATCTTGCTAGCATGTAACCAACAGGTGATCTGACTTGCTGACCCGATTCAAGCATACCAACACAATACAATCAAAATAGCTTAAATAATCATCCTCGTTCATTCAAATTGAAACCAAAAACCAATGACAAACTGGTCTAGTGGTTAATCTTTAGTAACTAAAAATGTAGAAATGTTGGAGGTCACGGGTTCGATCCGTGTGGAAAACGGTCGGTTCTCCAAAAGAACATTAAATTACATGGTTTGGATTTTGTTATAGGAAATATACAGGCCCACGGACCGAGAACCTCTTACTCCTAAAAACAATAAGAGATTTATCTTTTCCATCTTATGTAATTACTAGGTTGTATAGTCGCTATTATGTTATGTGTAATGGTGTAATAAAATGAATTGATCATTTTAGAAGCAAATTAAAGCTTAAAAGATATTAGTCCACTTACCATCTACCCATTCTTGATGTAGCCTTAGTTGAAAGTGGTTAAATTTTAGCACATCTTGATTCTTCTCAAAGTGAACTAGGTAATTTGAATTCTCAAAGCTTTGTGTTTTAATCTTGATTTCCTAATTCATGTGGATTGTATGGTCTATATTATCAAAATTTCCCTTGTTTTAAGTTCTTCCATGGAATTATCTACTCATTTTTCATAATTTAATATAAACTTATGTATAAAAATTATTTCTTCAACACTTAAACCAAAAAAACTAAAGTGTGGAGGTTATGTTTTTATCATTGAAGTGTAGAGGTTGATCTTTGTTTGGAGACAATTGATAATAGATTCATTATCACAAAAAAAAAATATGTGTCTAATAAAAAAAAAGTTGTTGGTAATTATATTTAAAACATTTTCTACTATATACTATTTTGAAAAAGAGAATTATATTTCTTTTTTCAGTAATTCACAAAAATATTTTAAAACTAAAACGAGAGAGTAATGTAATGAACTTGAAGGTGAAATATGGGGAGTACTCGTAGATACATTAGGGTGGTCATATCTTAAATTTTCGTACTCCTATCCTTTCACATTGTCTTTAACTATTGAATTTGCCAAGAATTTTCGTACTCTAGTCCAAGAATTGTCTTTAACTATTGAATTTGCTTGCTTTTAGTTATTTTCTCTTCCTTGACATCCTTCACATTCATTAGCTTTCTTTGATGGGGAAACACGCCGTAGAGGTCACGAGACTCGGCACTCAGGATAGACAGCCCCATCATCTGAATATAATGATTGTTAATAACTAAATAGCTAGCATGATTCAAAAGAAATATTGAATACTTACAAAAAGAGTCTTTGCAGAATCTCCCTCTGTTGGAATCAATGTGCAAAGTTTGATCACAACAAAGTCGTTATATTTTAGATTATCATTATGAAATTTAGCCATCACAGACCTAAGATAAGCAAAGTGTGTCGAAGCTTTATTTTCCAAACAAAGAGAGTATTTTTTAATTATTTGTTTCATTAAAGCACTTAATTATGTAAATTTGATTTATATCATCTAAACGCATTACCTCTTTTTTAAAAAGAAACTTAAAATATTTGAGAAAAAAACAAAATTTTGCATCAAGGATCTTAATTCGCAATAACTAGAATTAAAAATACATGCAATGAACCATGCACTATGCAGATTGCAAAGAACGAGAACATGACAATACTAAATTTTCGATTGATAAAAACAGAACGATTAAAGAAGAATTGTAAAAACAGTTCAAATGTTCCAATTTAAAATATTTTTAAAATGTATTAAATTGAATATAAATATTTAATTTCCCACCTATTACTCAGTCAAAATTTTTGTTGAATATTTAAAAAATATGTATTACTCAAGTCTAAATTTTTTACCCGTTATAATTTTTTTTTCATAGATTGAACCATTTATATTCATTTTAAAAAATTCAAATCATGGCACATGCGGAAAACAAATCTACATTTTTTATCATATGGATGATATGATTATTATCTGTTTCACAAAAATTGAATCATATAAAGATGATAGGTGAAGTATAATAATTAACAACAAATTATTATGGTAAGTTAGATTTCAATCATATAAGTTCATTTTGATTGGTTATTCATTTTTTTGAAATTTAATAATGTATTTTCATTTTTATTATATAAAATTATAGATTTCAACAAAATAAATGTATAAAATCGAATATAAATATCTAAGTTCCTACCCGTTAGTCAAAGTTTTTGTTAACTATATTTATGTTTAAAAGATATATATCACCTAAGTCTGAATTTTTGACTCGTTATAATTCTTTCTTCATAGATTGAACAATTTATATTTATTTTTTAAAATTCAAATCATGGCACATGCGAAAAAAATCTACTTTTTTTTACTATATGGATGATATGATTTTTTATTTGTTTCACAAAATAAAATCATATAAAGATGATAGGTGAAGTATAATGATTAATTAAAAATTAATATGGTAAGTTAGATATCAAATCTTATATTTTCATTTTGATTGGTTATTCATTTGCTAAAAATTTTAATATATGTATTTTTAGTTTTTGTCAAGTAAGTATATTGACTTATGAAATTGAATATAAATTTTTAAATTCTGACACGTTATTCAGTCGAAATTTTTGTTAAATATATTTCTGTTTCAAAGATATTTATCACTCAAGTCTGAATTTTTGACAGTTACAATTTTTTCTTCATAAATGAAAATTTTATATTTGTTTTTAAAAATTATAATCATGGCACATGCGGAAAAAAATCTATTTTTTCTACTATATGGATGATATAATTATTTATTTGTTTCATAAAATAGAATCAGATAAAGATGATAGGTGAAGTTTAATGATTAATAAAAAAAAAATATGGTAAGCTAGATATCAATATTATATGTTCATTTTTGGTTATTCATTTTTAAAAATTTAATAATAAATTTTTGTTTTTGTAAAGTAATTAAATTGACTTGTGTTAATTGACTTGTTTATCCTTAATGAGTTGAACTAATTTGGTCTTTGATATTATATTTCTAATGACATTTTTTAGTAATATATTACAAAGAATAAGATTAGTTTTTTAACATACTTTTATAATAATAGTAGTACAAGATATATGAGAAAGAACAGAGGATCTAAAGGTTATGAGAAGAAGAGTGATATGAGTCAAATTACTCCTAAGACCACTCTCTCAAATAAGAGATCAATTGCAGTACTTTAGGGTCGAATTCCACAAATTTCTCTTGTTCACACAATAAGCTAACAGTTTTGAAATTATGCTAAATGAAATAATAAGAATTAAAATAAACGCAAGCAATTAAATCAGGTAAAAGATCAATAGATTAAAGCGTCAGGTTTAGGGAAATTCTCAGGAATTAAACTAATAGTAAATCATGCAAATTAATTAAGATTATTTATCGAACCGTTTTAGAACTCAAATCACTAATGTATAGCCAACCACCTCTCGAATGTATTGGCTAACTAAACCTAATATCAGGATTCAGGAAGTTCCACCTCTCAAATGTAAACTCCTAGAATTAGACTAGCATTAATAACATGTTTGATATGTTCACAAATATTCCTAGACCACCTCTCGAAAGTATCTAGTAATTTCAGTTCACCTAAGATAGTTCCAGTAATAGATGACCTCTCGAATCTACCTATTATCCTATGATCAAGTTCTAGTTAGCTACTCTAGAACTAGCATTAAGAACAATTTAAGGTCAAGAACTCTAAAGATTAGTCCTAACAGATAATCGATCTACTAATTCATCTAAATCCCTAATGAGAATCCCTAAACCTACCAGGAAGATTACTAAGACATGATTAAAGAAACAGAAAACATGTTTGAATAAATTGCAATATAAGAAATTAAAAGAAGAATAGAGTTTAGAATAAATTTTCTCTCTACATGGATTTGAAAACTCTGAAAGTAGCTCTCTCCAATTATCTTTCAAAGGGTTCAAGCTCAGAGAATTACAAAGCGAAAAGCAAGATAATGAATAATTAAAACCCTAAAAACTATTTATAATGTCTCAAAAAAACGTGCAGGGACTAAAGTTGCAAACAGAGAAGTCTTTGAGGTTGATTTTTCGGGCTTTAAAACTCTTAAACCGTCGAGACTTTTGATGGGGCTCGACCTCGTGTGTTGTCGATCGACACCAGGGCGTGTCGGTCGGCACTCATGCCTTATTCTGATACCGAATTCGTTCCTTCAGCTCTTAATCTCCGGTTTAGCTCCAGAATGGTTCCTTATCTCCAAATTTGTCTCGAACGTGTAAAAACCTGAAAAGACTCAAAAAGACTCTAGAAATAACAAAAAGACTCTAAAACTGACATATATATCATGGCTAAATAAATCTGTGATATATCAATGAGTAGAGAAAGAAGTTAATGCATCTGCTTTTACATTGGAAGATGTGATAATTTTGAGATGGGGGGGGGGGGGGGGGGGGGGAGGAAGGAGATTGCTTATTCAACTATTGAATCACTACAATGATATGTTGAATAAAAATAAAAAAAAATGACGTGGAACATAGTTGAATTCAACAACGTTGAAACAAAAAGTGATGGGTCTCACAGTGCCACGTGGCAGTCAGCGAATGGATAATTTTTATACTTATATGATAATATTTGCATATAGACATATGTTCTGTTTTTATTGGATATTGAGATTTTAGATATTTCTTATCTAACCCAATTATTTGAGATCAAATATATCATAAAATGTAAAATATTATTTTAATTTTTTAATACCAAAATTCATCATTTTTCATACTCTATAAAGAGAGACTTGTTTCACTTAATTTGGACACAGAAAAAAAAATCATCTTTCTTACTATTCTTTTGCTACTAGCCTTCATAAACTCTTGTTTATTGTTTTACCCATCTTTTTACTAAAATTAAAAATAATATATAAAAACAAAAACAAAAACAAAAACATTTGAAGAAAAACATTTGAAGGGATGATCCTCATAAGATGTGTATTGAAAAACTCCAATGCTGATTTTTGGAGAGAATCAAGGGGAACTTTGGTGAGAGAATCTCTGTTGCCCCAAGAAAAACATTTGAAGGGATGATCCTCATAAGATGTGTGAGCGAGGATTTGATCAAGTCGATCAACATCACTGTACTTGATCAAGAGAAATTCTGAAGCCAAAAACAAAAACAAAAAATAAAGAATGTAACTCGGACATATTCGTCGCATTTGGATTAATTGACTGAATACGGTTTGTAGAGTATTGGTACCAGAATCCATGGCATCGATCTCATGTTCCAACTTCTCTGTTTCCATGAGAGGATTGATGAAAAGGTGGGAAAACCTGACACACAAATTTTTCTGGTGAGAAAATATACATACTTACAGGAAGGGTTGAATGAATAGAATTGACAAAAAAAACCTACCTATCAAGAGCACCATGAAAGTGTTCTGGATCGACTTCAAAGCTGAATGTTGTATGATCAAATTCAGTATGGCCATTAGTACCGCCATCATACTTAGCCACATAATCTTGTAGCTGCAATACAAAGAGAAATGAATTTAGAAAAAACAACAAGATTGAGAACAGATTACCAACAGATAAATTTACTTACTAACCTCATTTACGCTGCTGAATTTTTGAGAACCGCGAAAAAGAATGTGTTCGATTACATGCGCGAGCCCTGGAATCTCGAGAGGATCTGCAAAGGAACCGACTCGAACAGTCATCGCAGCCGATGATACTTCTACGTCTTCGCCGCCGCTAAATACAAAGACTTTGAGCCCATTCTCCAGCGTTAAAGATTTGCTAGGTCTACCGGGATCATCTGAATATAATGATTGTTAATAACTAAATAGCTAGCATGATTCAAAAGAAATATTGAATACTTACAAAAAGAGTCTTTGCAGAATCTCCCTCTGTTGGAATCAATGTGCAAAGTTTGATCACAACAAAGTCGTTATATTTTAGATTATCATTATGAAATTTAGCCATCACAGACCTAAGATAAGCAAAGTGTGTCGAAGCTTTATTTTCCAAACAAAGAGAGTATTTTTTAATTATTTGTTTCATTAAAGCACTTAATTATGTAAATTTGATTTATATCATCTAAACGCATTACCTCTTTTTTAAAAGAAACTTAAAATATTTGAGAAAAAACAAAATTTTGCATCAAGGATCTTAATTCGCAATAACTAGAATTAAAAATACATGCAATGAACCATGCACTATGCAGATTGCAAAGAACGAGAACATGACAATACTAAATTTTCGATTGATAAAAACAGAACGATTAAAGAAGAATTGTAAAAACAGTTCAAATGTTCCAATTTAAAATATTTTTAAAATGTATTAAATTGAATATAAATATTTAATTTCCCACCTATTACTCAGTCAAAATTTTTGTTGAATATTTAAAAAATATGTATTACTCAAGTCTAAATTTTTTACCCGTTATAATTTTTTTTTCATAGATTGAACCATTTATATTCGTTTTAAAAAATTCAAATCATGGCACATGCGGAAAACAAATCTACCTTTTTTTATCATATGGATGATATGATTATTATCTGTTTCACAAAAATTGAATCATATAAAGATGATAGGTGAAGTATAATAATTAACAACAAATTATTATGGTAAGTTAGATTTCAATCATATAAGTTCATTTTGATTGGTTATTCATTTTTTTGAAATTTAATAATGTATTTTCATTTTTATTATATAAAATTATAGATTTCAACAAAATAAATGTATAAAATCGAATATAAATATCTAAGTTCCTACCCGTTAGTCAAAGTTTTTGTTAACTATATTTATGTTTAAAAGATATATATCACCTAAGTCTGAATTTTTGACTCGTTACAATTCTTTCTTCATAGATTGAACAATTTATATTTATTTTTAAAAATTCAAATCATGGCACATGCGAAAAAAATCTACTTTTTTTTTTACTATATGGATGATATGATTTTTTATTTGTTTCACAAAATAAAATCATATAAAGATGATAGGTGAAGTATAATGATTAATTAAAAATTAATATGGTAAGTTAGATATCAAATCTTATATTTTCATTTTGATTGATTATTCATTTGCTAAAAATTTTAATATATGTATTTTTAGTTTTTGTCAAGTAAGTATATTGACTTATGAAATTGAATATAAATTTTTAAATTCTGACACGTTATTCAGTCGAAATTTTTGTTAAATATATTTCTGTTTCAAAGATATTTATCACTCAAGTCTGAATTTTTGACAGTTACAATTTTTTCTTCATAAATGAACATTTTATATTTGTTTTTAAAAATTATAATCATGGCACATGCGGAAAAAAATCTATTTTTCTACTATATGGATGATATAATTATTTATTTGTTTCATAAAATAGAATCAGATAAAGATGATAGGTGAAGTTTAATGATTAATAAAAAAAATATATGGTAAGCTAGATATCAATATTATATGTTCATTTTTGGTTATTCATTTTTAAAAATTTAATAATAAATTTTTGTTTTTGTAAAGTAATTAAATTGACTTGTGTTAATTGACTTGTTTATCCTTAATGAGTTGAACTAATTTGGTCTTTGATATTATATTTCTAATGACATTTTTTAGTAATATATTACAAAGAATAAGATTAGTTTTTTAACATACTTTTATAATAATAGTAGTACAAGATATATGAGAAAGAACAGAGGATCTAAAGGTTATGAGAAGAAGAGTGATATGAGTCAAATTACTCCTAAGACCACTCTCTCAAATAAGAGATCAATTGCAGTACTTTAGGGTCGAATTCCACAAATTTCTCTTGTTCACACAATAAGCTAACAGTTTTGAAATTATGCTAAATGAAATAATAAGAATTAAAATAAACGCAAGCAATTAAATCAGGTAAAAGATCAATAGATTAAAGCGTCAGGTTTAGGGAAATTCTCAGGAATTAAACTAATAGTAAATCATGCAAATTAATTAAGATTATTTATCGAACCGTTTTAGAACTCAAATCACTAATGTATAGCCAACCACCTCTCGAATGTATTGGCTAACTAAACCTAATATCAGGATTCAGGAAGTTCCACCTCTCAAATGTAAACTCCTAGAATTAGACTAGCATTAATAACATGTTTGATATGTTCACAAATATTCCTAGACCACCTCTCGAAAGTATCTAGTAATTTCAGTTCACCTAAGATAGTTCCAGTAATAGATGACCTCTCGAATCTACCTATTATCCTATGATCAAGTTCTAGTTAGCTACTCTAGAACTAGCATTAAGAACAATTTAAGGTCAAGAACTCTAAAGATTAGTCCTAACAGATAATCGATCTACTAATTCATCTAAATCCCTAATGAGAATCCCTAAACCTACCAGGAAGATTACTAAGACATGATTAAAGAAACAGAAAACATGTTTGAATAAATTGCAATATAAGAAATTAAAAGAAGAATAGAGTTTAGAATAAATTTTCTCTCTACATGGATTTGAAAACTCTGAAAGTAGCTCTCTCCAATTATCTTTCAAAGGGTTCAAGCTCAGAGAATTACAAAGCGAAAAGCAAGATAATGAATAATTAAAACCCTAAAAACTATTTATAATGTCTCAAAAAAACGTGCAGGGACTAAAGTTGCAAACAGAGAAGTCTTTGAGGTTGATTTTTCGGGCTTTAAAACTCTTAAACCGTCGAGACTTTTGATGGGGCTCGACCTCGTGTGGTGTCGATCGACACCAGGGCGTGTCGGTCGGCACTCATGCCTTATTCTGATACCGAATTCGTTCCTTCAGCTCTTAATCTCCGGTTTAGCTCTAGAATGGTTCCTTATCTCCAAATTTGTCTCGAACGTGTAAAAACCTGAAAAGACTCAAAAAGACTCTAAAACTGACATATATATCATGGCTAAATAAATTTGTGATATATCAAAGAGTAGAGAAAGAAGTTAATGCATCTGCTTTTACATTGGAAGATGTGATAATTTTGAGATGGGGGGGGGGGGGGGGGGGAGGAAGGAGATTGCTTATTCAACTATTGAATCACTACAATGATATGTTGAATAAAAATAAAAAAAAATGACGTGGAACATAGTTGAATTCAACAACGTTGAAACAAAAAGTGATGGGTCTCACAGTGCCACGTGGCAGTCAGCGAATGGATAATTTTTATACTTATATGATAATATTTGCATATAGACATATGTTCTGTTTTTATTGGATATTGAGATTTTAGATATTTCTTATCTAACCCAATTATTTGAGATCAAATATATCATAAAATGTAAAATATTATTTTAATTTTTTAATACCAAAATTCATCATTTTTCATACTCTATAAAGAGAGACTTGTTTCACTTAATTTGGACACAGAAAAAAAAATCATCTTTCTTACTATTCTTTTGCTACTAGCCTTCATAAACTCTTGTTTATTGTTTTACCCATCTTTTTACTAAAATTAAAAATAATATATAAAAACAAAAACAAAAACAAAAACATTTGAAGAAAAACATTTGAAGGGATGATCCTCATAAGATGTGTATTGAAAAACTCCAATGCTGATTTTTGGAGAGAATCAAGGGGAACTTTGGTGAGAGAATCTCTGTTGTCCCAAGAAAAACATTTGAAGGGATGATCCTCATAAGATGTGTGAGCGAGGATTTGATCAAGTCGATCAGCATCACTGTACTTGATCAAGAGAAATTCTGAAGCCAAAAACAAAAACAAAAAATAAAGAATGTAACTCGGACATATTCGTCGCATTTGGATTAATTGACTGAATACGGTTTGTAGAGTATTGGTACCAGAATCCATGGCATCGATCTCATGTTCCAACTTCTCTGTTTCCATGAGAGGATTGATGAAAAGGTGGGAAAACCTGACACACAAATTTTTCTGGTGAGAAAATATACATACTTACATGAAGGGTTGAATGAAAAGAATTGACAAAAAAACCTACCTATCAAGAGCACCATGAAAGTGTTCTGGATCGACTTCAAAGCTGAATGTTGTATGATCAAATTCAGTATGGGCATTAGTACCGCCATCATACTTAGCCACATAATCTTGTAGCTGCAATACAAAGAGAAATGAATTTAGAAAAAACAACAAGATTGAGAACAGATTACCAACAGATAAATTTACTTACTAACCTCATTTACGCTGCTGAATTTTTGAGAACCGCGAAAAAGAATGTGTTCGATTACATGATCGAGCCCTGGAATCTCGAGAGGATCTGCAAAGGAACCGACTCGAACAGTCATCGCAGCCGATGATACTTCTACGTCTTCGCCGCCGCTAAATACAAAGACTTTGAGCCCATTCTCCAGCGTTAAAGATTTGCTAGGTCTACCGGGATCAGCTATTCTTTGTCTCTTGAAATCGTGAGAATCGTCATCAGAAGATCTACTTCTCTTTGGGTAATCCATGGTAAACGATCTAATAAGCCCCTGCAAAAACAAATAAATGAACAATTTTAGATGAGAAGATATATTGAACCACTAAAAATATGAAGAACTAATTTATCAATACTTCAGCAAACATAAACCGATACGATTCACTAAAGCACTATAAAAAATTAATGTATCATACTTGGCAATAATTTCATACACGTGAATATAGTCGAATTAGATACTACATTTATTAAAAAAAATATCATAGTATTCATAGCTTTAAAATCACACAAATTTGAATCATAAGGATGGATTTTAGACAAGTGTAAGAAGAAATTAGTCATACAAAGATAGATTGAACCTTACTTAAGCCTATCAGAACTTGAAGAGAATGTGAAATATGAATCTTCGTGAATCGATTTTGCGACAGTGAATCGATATTTGCGGCCAGAGGAACTGAGAAAGAGGAGAAAACAATACGACAAAAATATAGACCAACAGTGAATTTATGATGGTATGGAGTTTATGTTGGTATGGAGCTTTTGGGAAGTGGAATGAAAAAATTGCGGACCAACAGTGAATTTATGATGGTATGGAGAAGTATGCTGAAGTGCATACTAGTATGGAGATTTTTAGTATGCAACCGTGCATACTAGTCCAGAATACTGAATGGTGAATTAAGTGCATACTGATCCGATTTTACTCTGGTCTGCAGCATACTATACAACCATTCAAAGCCTTTGTCTAAACCAGAAGCTCAAGAACGTTTGTCTCACTATAGTGGTCTGCCTTTTGTTCTCTTTATGTTGTGTGTGCATGTGTCTAAACCCAAGTCACCTTAATCCAATTTTTCCAAAATAGCGTTTTTTAAAGTTGTAGGCCTTTATCATATTTGGATTGGTTAAAAGATGCATATATAGATAAACTATATACTATCAACCCAACATTAAGAATTAACAAAAATTCAATAAGGCTCATGTACTATTATCGTTTATTTCTAAATCAATCCACATGTAAACAGAGCATATGAGAAAGTTAAACAAAATCAACTTTCAAAGAAGGGAAAAGCTCCATATACTCTGCTCCAACAACAAAGAGAGCAGAAATTGCTTCTGAATCAAAAGTGAGGACACAACTATTGAATTCAGATTTGTAATAAAACACGAAAAATCCAAAATCTAAACTTGATGTAATATGAATTATTAAGGAACTGAGATCAAATTTGGAAGATAGACAGTGAGAAAACCGAACAATCCATGAATCAATCTGAATCCTCTTGAACATACCTCCCCTTACCATATAGATGCAAACAGCTCCAGTTTCGCCTTCGCCACAACACATGATTAGGGTCTTGTCAAAGATGAAATAACTAATGCCACAATACTTATTAACTAGCTTAGGCAAGTTGGTTGTTGACAATGTCATCAATCTTTTTCAAATATATATATTAAAATACGTTTTTAGAGTGTAATTTATTTTAAGTTGTATCATATTTGGATTGATAAAAGATGCATGTAGATTAAGCTATACTAGCAACCCAACCTTAAAAAGGTTTACAAAATCAAGAAGGTTCATATTTATTTCCAAGTCAGTCCACATGAAAACAGAGCAAATAAGAAATTTAAACTTTAACCTTCCAAAGAAGGAAAAACCTTTGTATTAGCTGTTCCCTGAAGAGAATTTACTTTTGAAACGAATTGAGATTTGTAATAAAGCAAGAAAATCCAAAATTTAAACTTGTAGCGATCTGAATTATAAAGGAACCGATAACAAATTTGGAAGATAGACACAGTGAGAAAACCGAACACTACCGGAATCTATTTGAATCTTCTTGAATATATCTCCCTTCACAAAATAGATGCAAGCGGCTCCAGTTTGGTGGTCGCCACAACACATGATTAGGGTCTTGTCATAGATGAAGTAACTAATGCCACAAAACTTATTAACCAACTTAGGCAAGTTAGTTGTTGGCAAAGTCATCAAGTTTATCCACACTACTTCCTCTCCATCAATCTTCTTCTTCGTTACCCAAATATCAATCTTCCCTGTTACATTACATTGCTTTAACAACGAAAACCGATCTCTTTTAAAAACCGCGAGGACAAGTTCATCTCGAGAACGGTTCTTTAGACAGGGCAGGAGACAAAAAGGTTTGAATATCTCCTTGGAGAAATCAAAGCATCGGATGAAATACTTATAAGTCTCAGGTTCATGAGTAAGCCAATAGAGATTCCCGTTCAAGGACAAAGGTGCCATGATGGGCCACTGCGTGAAAGGGGCATCAATGAACTTCAACGCATGAGACGAACACTCGTAAATCGCAACTCTGCGGTAACTTACATGGTAAGTGTCGCTGACTTTACGGAGACAATTAAAATACCCCAAGATCTTGTAACTCTTTTCGGGTTTACAACTATCGTATCCTACACCGCAAAAATGGAAACCTTTATCCTCGTACTCGATCCATCCAACCTGTCTCAACCACGGATTCCAAACCGCAACACCTTGCTTCCAAAAGTCACGAAACAATAACCCATCGCAAGCGGTGATGGTGGTATGTATCAAATCCATAGCCTGACAAGTAAAATCAGAGACAAGCTCACGTACCTCTATTGTTCCACGGAGATCGATGTCTATCGAGTAACTGATCTTAGATTCGGTCAGGAAAATGAATTGGGGACGAGCACGAGCAAAGTGGTTGTTGTGGAACCTCTTGTCGTTGAAAAGATCGTTCCAGTGTTTACATACGGATCTGAACCGAACAAGAGATCGGGGTGGGAGCCGAGACAGTATCTCTTCCTCCAACTCCCGCGGAAGCTTCCCCGACGCCATTACCTTTCTCTGACTTCGGTGGCTTTCGCGTGTGGCTCCTCTCCCAATCAAGTAAGCAGAGAATCTATATTATTTCGCGTTTGTGCCTAGGCATGACCAAAACTAACCGTAACCGTATTTCGGACCGTAACCGGACCGTTTCTCAACCGTAACCGAACCGTAACCGTATAAAACGGTTAGTAACCGTAACCGTTAACCGTAAAGATAGATTAGTTACGGTTAAAAAATATACTAACCGTAACCGTTAATTAACCGTAAACGTATCAAAACCGTTAGTTAACCGTACGGTTAACCGTGCGGTTAACCGCATAGTTAACTGTGCGGTTAACCGCATAGTTAACCGTGCAGTTAAAACCTAAAATACATAATTATTTCACTAAAACAGTGCCTTAAATGGTTCAGTATGCCCACTACTAAATTTAAACCACTCCACTACTCATTTTCCATAATTTACTATTCATTTTTCGCAAATCAAATCATAAATAATTTACAAGTTATTATTTCTACTCCTGTAATCGTTTTTCTCATAACATCCTTTCTATAGTATTGTTTGGAATACGTATTGTCAATAAAACAATAACTCAATCATTATAATTATTACCATTGATTTAGTTATTCGTTGGTTTACTTAACAGAACAAAATAGCTAATTAACTATAAATATTAAAGTACATAATCACATATATTATATATTGTAAAATAAATATTATTTGATATATCATCATTAAATTTTTTATTCTAAGGGTTAAAAATACCTAAATTTTTGTCTTTGATATTAAACGTATCGTAATAATTAAATAACCGTAACCGTATTTAACCGTAACCGTTGTAACCGTAACCGTATTTAACCGTAACCGTTTTAACCGTATATATAACGGTTAAGGATACGGTTAGAGAAATTTTATAACCGTAACCGGAGGTTAACAAACTGTAACCGCAATAAGCGTAACCGTGGTCATGCCTATTTGTGCCTTTATCTAATTAATTAATAAGAAAAGTGAAAAGTGATCCTTTTTTTTTATCTATATCTGTTAGGAAAATGAAATAACACCCTTTTTTTTTTCTTTTTTTTTTTTTTTGGAAAAGGTGACATATATTTAATCTAAAAATAAAGTCTAAAATGAAAAATAATTTTCAATATTTACTAGGTCACGAACCTCTGCAATGTTGGCAGAACTTATTTTCAACAAATATATTTGATTATGTTTATGTATTAAATTATTATATGATAATAAATGTCCATACTTTAACGGAAAATTGCGATAAAATGACACAAACGTAAAAAAGTAACCGTCAATATTTTAACGGAAAGTTGCGATAAAAAATAACCATCAATATTTTAACGGAAAATTGCGATAAAAAGACAACCGAAAAATAACCGTCAACAAAAAAAAAATAACCGTCAATATTTTAACAAATATTTGCGATAAAAACACAACTGAAAAAATAACCGTTAATATTTTAACGGAAATTACGATAAAAAGACACAACTATCCAGAAGTGCAAAAGACATTTATTGAGATTGGAAGAGAGAGAAGATGATGAGGAGTGTTAAAAAAAAGGTGGGTGTTGTAAACATAAAACATAAGAAGGTGGTAATTGTTTTTTTTAGTCAATTTTTTTTTCAAAAATAATAGAATTGGATTACGAAAGTGAAAGAGCAAAATTTGAGAGTTTTGCCATGTATCAAATGTGAGTGTTGCAATCATATATATAAAAGTTGGCTAACTCTCTCCATATGAGTGTCACATCATCACACATAAAAATGACATGTGTCATTTTATATTATTTAAATTAAAATTTCACAAAAAGAAATGAGGAAAATCAAAAGTCCTCCATTACATTAAATCCTCCATCATTCTACTCTTAATTAATTTTTTCAAAATAAAAAAAATATATACAAAAACATGTTAATGTATCAAGCATTACTTTCATTCTACAATTTTTCTTTTAGGAATTTTTTTTATCAATGATCATTACTCGATAATAACTGAAAATTTACTTATTTTGTAGTTTAACTATTTGTTACCTAATTTCTTATTAGTTTAGTAATTCTTTGAGTCATTTTTCGCAACTACGTTTGGTGGTTCATATATGACGTTTGTTGATAATATTGACAAGCAAGTTTTTTCAAATAATGAACTTTTGAAACGTTAGACATACCAAGAAATTCAAGACACGACACTCTTCTCTTATATGGCTATATGTAAGGACAGAGATATAATAGTGTTAAGTTAAATAACTCTTCAATTTTTTGCTTTCTTTTTCTTCTTTTCATATGAAAACTCTTGAAGCAAATAAGTAGTTAGTTATACTTATCTTGTTTATATTATGTTATTCAAATATTAAATCATGAGCCTATCACGATGTGGATGAAGTACTAGATCATGATAGTACATAAAATAATGAACTGTTTGTTCATAATCAAGTTAGGCAAGTATCAAATTACACAAGTGACATAATTACATACCATTATATCAAAATATCATATATTGTTGTTGTATGTATTCAAGATATATCATATATAATCTTAATTATGTATATAAATAATCAAAAATGAATCTAATTATAAAAATTGTAACTACATAGGATGTATTTAATTTTATTAACTACATAATAACACACAAAATGAACATAAATTAACAATAAGAACAATAAACATGATTTTCTAAAAAACTTTTATAACAACAACCCACGCGTAGCGTGAATATTCATCTAGTATTTGTTAAAGTGACTGTTGATTTAGTAGAAATATATAGATAGATATATTTGAAACAATGGCTAGAAAGCCACTTTCTCGAAAAAAAAAACGCTGGAAGGCCACTGCCATATTTGTAATTTTATTTACCATTTTTTTAAATCAAAAAAGGTAGAAATGTCCAAAAAACCTATAAGAAAACTGGAAATTACAGATCCAACCAAAACAATCCGACCCAAATCCAATAAAACGGATTACCCGATCCAATCTAAGGGTGAATAACACTAAATCCCTAATTATAAAAGGGAAAGATGCGTCAACTTTCAAATTTGGGACGGTTAAAGCATGAACTCTCGAAATGTCTCTTTAATCACAAAGTTTTTGTTGACCTATCTGAAAATAGCTAAGTTTTCGTTGACCTGGCCAAATTAGGCATCGCGTTAAGTCCCCGTTAGAACGACTCTGACGCTGTTAACAATCCGTTACAAGTCTCCGTTGGATCAAAACGACGTCGTTTTGTCGTTTCACCAGAAAATAAGAAGGAAAAATGGCATCTTCAAAGATTCGAACTGCTGACCTGTTACCCTAATAAAAGACACTCAACCATTGAGCTACGAGAATATTTAAATGTTTTAACAAACAGAACGTGTATATATACTTTGAAGCAATAATTTTGAGGAAGCATAGAAATTTTATCTACTTAGGACCTATATAAATGAGTAGAAGATTAAAGAGTTGCACCAGAGACTGAAAGACTGAGATTTGTTTGGTTCTAAATAATAGAATCATATGGTGAAAAGGAATTACGTACAACTAGATCATTTAGGTACAACTAGATCACTTAGGTACAGCTGAAACAATTTCAGTATAACTTGAACTATTTGTTGCAATTGCACTATTTGATTGTTCGGATAGTTTATTGTTTTTTGGTGCAACTCATAAATTAGATATAACTATGTGTGTAAAACAATTTTAAGAACATATGACTTCATGTTTTTGTGAAAAAAAATATTTAGGTACAACTACGTGTAGGTACAACTGATATATTCAGGTACAACTGGTATATTTAGGTACAACTACGTATAGGTACAACTGGTTTATTTAGGTACAACCACAAGGTCCTTTCGAGTTTTCTAAAAAATAAAAAATTAATTAAAATTGATATTAAAATGAATTTAAATATGACTGGCGTGAAAAATAATAAAAAAATGGACCTTTGGCAGCGGGTTATTAATTTAAAATCATCACACGTGCTGTAAAGTGGACCAAAGACAGTGGGATATTCATAAAAAATTGTTTGTTACAAAACATAGTTGTACCTAGTTATTCATTTGTACTCTCATATTCATAGTTGGACTTTGCCAATTTTTCCGTATTTGCAGTTGGACTATAATATAAATTATTAATTAGTAGTTGGACACATGATTTGGGCATTAGAATATTACATAACAATATATGTCGTACATAAGGAAGAGATCACTAAACCACCGGATTACACACCAAAAAGTGGAAGAAATCAAGAAACGCGGTTTCCATCAACCGGAGAAAAACGCCTCTATAGAACGAAGAACAAGGCTACGCCTGGGATAAACTTGGAAAATTGGTTGCAAATTAGAGAATTTAATTTGTCTGTTTTGAATTTGCATTTCTCAAATTTGTATGAACTATTCACCTAGTTCAACTTGGTTCAACTTATTGGATTAAATTAAAAACATGTATGTGTTTGTTTTTTTGGTCTATTTTAATTTAAGTAGTTCAACTAGTTCAAATGTTTGTTTTTGGTTTTTGTGGTAACATTTAATATAATTAGTTCAACTAGTTCAACTAAGTAACGCTAAAATGTTTAAATTTGTTTTTTCAGAATTGATAATTTATTTAAACGTAAAATTATATATTACATTCTCCAAAATATAAACAAACTATTTTGGATCAATACAATAAAAATTTAATAATTTCTAAGAAATAAATGTTGTTTCACATAAAACACCCCTTATGATATAAGGAATACTTAGTATATGATCACCTTATATGAAGTAAAAAAGGTGAAAACCAAGTTTTCACCAATGTTCCATTATGAAAACTTTGGAAATGCAAAATAAATTAGAGAAATCATGTGTCCAACTTGCAATTAATTATCTACAGTCTCATTCAACTGCAAATTATAAAAATTATGGAAAGTCCAACTATGATTACGATAGTACAACTGGACAACTATGAGTATATTCCGCCCAGAAAAAAAACAAAAAAAAAACTTTTTAGTGGGGCCCACATATTGAGTAAGTACAACATTAAATAAAAATCAAATGCTGAACGTTTTTTTTGGGCCCACATGCTCAGAGGTTTTTTTTTTTGAGTTTTTTTTTTTGCTTTTTAAAAATTAAAGGAAGAATAATTCATTACGGGTAAAATGAATATTACATATATAGAGTGGCATAGAGACTCTAAAATGGCATGCCTGATTCATTTTTTTTGTTTAGTGGCATTCTAGCCTCTGTCTCGATATATTTTGGAGTATTTTTGCTAAATTTATTTTTTCTTTCTCTTAGGCCGTTGCTTTAATAATCTCAAGAGTCCGAGGCTAGTATGCCACTTAATGGAGAAAATAAATCCGGCATGCCATTTTGTGATCTGAATGCCACTATAAATGTGATATCCCCAAATTACCCTTAATGAAATAACAGACGATCGGTACAACTAAGAGATGATAGTACAACTGGTACAGATGAGGGATTATAGGACAATTGATACAAATAGTATAACTGAGAGATAATAGGAGAACTGGTACAAATGATACAAATGAAAGATAATAGTATAATTGGTACAAATGGTATAACTGAAATATAAATAGGTACAACTGGTACAAATAGTTATGGACAACTGGTACAAATGGTTCTACTGAAACAAAGCAATTTGTAATTCTAAACCCTAGCGCCGTCACACTCACTAATTCGTCTCTTCTTGCTTTCTTCACTATCGTCGTCGCCGATTCACCATCACCCTTCCTCGTCGAAGTTTGTGGACCGTCTTCTCTCACCAAACGATTGCGCACTACAAATGACGAAAGCACGAAGAGAAATCCATGGAGAAGAAGCTTGAAGAGAGATCCATGATTTTTGAATCTCAGAAATCCATGGAGAAGAAGCATGAAGAGAGATCCGATCCATAAAGAAGAGCAAAGAGAGATCCATGGAGAAGAAAAGATCTTGAGTTTAATTGATGATGATGATGGAGAAAAAGAGATCTAGAATGAAAGATCTAAAAAATCCAGAAAAAGTAAAAGAAGAAGGAGAAAAAAAAGAAGAGGAGGCGTGAAAGAAGAAGTAGAAGTTTAGTTATGTTATTGGATTGGCAAAAGAAAGGGTAAGGATACGTAATAATTAGATTAGGAAATGGTTTTTTTTTTGTCTTTTTATATTAATTTGATTTAAATTTATTTTTTCAGAAAATTGAAACTAGATGGGTTGCATTTTAGAATTTTTTTTCTCACATAGTGGCTTTCTAGCCATTGTTTCCTCAAGTCTGATGAACATCGCTTCCGTTTTCTCCAAAACCAGACGAAGGCAAAATCTATCCAATCCCTAAACCGTCACATTTTGGCGCCAATTTCATCTTCCTCATCATGGCCACCGATTCCAGCGGAGCCACAATCTCCGGCAACTTCTCACATGGCGAGAACACAGAAACCCTAAACCTCAACACTAAAGAACTCTACTCATCAGCAATATCCTCCGTCTCTTCACAATCTCCCCCACCGAAACCACCGTTCTCATCTCTTTCAATCCCTCAATCAAAACGAATCCCTAAAACTAACTTCATCGTCGATCTCTTCCGCTTCCCACAACATTCCTCCACCTCCGTCGCTTTCTTCCTCTCACATTTTCACTCCGATCACTATTCCGGTCTCTCCTCTACTTGGTCTAAAGGAATTATCTTCTGCTCACACAAAACCGCTCGTCTCGTCGAAGAAATCCTTCAAGTTCCTTCACAATTCGTCTTCGCTTTACCTATGAACCAAATGGTTATGATCGATGGCTCTGAAGTTGTGTTGATTGAAGCAAATCACTGTCCAGGAGCGGTACAGTTTTTGTTTAAAGTCAAATCAGAGAACGGTGGATTTGAGAGGTATGTTCATACTGGAGATTTCAGATTCTGTGATGAGATGAGATTTGATTCGTTTCTTAGTGGTTTTATTGGATGTGATGGTGTTTTTCTGGATACTACTTATTGTAATCCTAAGTTCGTTTTTCCGACGCAAGAGGAATCTGTTGGTTATGTGGTTAGTGTGATAGATAAGATTGGTAAGGAGTGTGTGGAGACGAAGAAGAAGGTTTTGTTTCTTGTTGCTACTTATGTTATTGGTAAAGAGAAGATTTTGGTTGAGATTGCTAGGAGATGTAAGAGGAAAATCGTTGTGGATGCGAGGAAGATGTCAATTTTGGGGATTTTGGGGTGTGGGGAGAGCGGAATGTTTACGGAGGATGTGAATGAGAGTGATGTTCATGTTGTGGGGTGGAATGTGTTGGGAGAGACTTGGCCGTATTTTCGGCCGAATTTTGTGAAGATGAGTGAGATTATGGTTGAGAAAGGGTATGATAAGGTTGTAGGTTTTGTGCCTACAGGGTGGACTTATGAAGTGAAGCGGAATAAGTTTGCCGTTAGGTATAAAGATTCAATGGAGATTCATCTTGTACCATATAGTGAGCATTCGAACTATGATGAGCTTAGAGAGTACATAAAGTTCTTGAAACCTAAAAGAGTTATTCCTACAGTTGGAGTTGATATCGAGAAGCTTGATAGCAAGGAGGTTAATAAGATGCAGAAACATTTTTCTGGATTGGTAGATGAAATGGCAAACAAGAAAGATTTTTTATTGAGTTTCTATCGCCAGTCTTACCAGAAGAATGAGAAAAATGACGTAGATGTTGTGTCATGCTTGGCTGAGGTTTACGAAGGGGAAGATAAAAATGCATGTGAAGACGGTGGAGATAATGTTCCATCAACTAGAGGACCCTTATTGCAAGATACAGCTCTAAGTAGTGATTCTTCTGTGACTGAAAGATTGCTGGTAGAACTACGTGATTCTTTGCCTGCTTGGGTCACGGAAGAGCAGATGTTAGATCTGATTAAGAAGCATGCTGGTAATCCCGTGGAAATAGTTAGTAACTTTTATGAATGTGAGGCAGAGCTTTACAAGCAATCCTCTCTTCCCAAGCTTTCCTTGGAAAATCAGCCTGTTTTGTTTGATGACGATGTAACCGACTTGCAACCAAATCCTGTAAAGAGCACTTGTCCAGATATTCAAGCAATTCAAAAAGGTTTTGAATTACCAAAAAAAATGAATTTAACAAAGGGTACTATTTCTCCTGGGAAAAGAGGCAAAAGCTCGGGCAGTAAATCAAACAAGAAGGCCAAGAAAGATCCAAAATCAAGACCAGTTGGTCCGAGGCAGCCAACCATTTTTAAGTTCTTCAATAAGGTCTTGGATAGTGGATCTAATTCTGTTGGTGTTGGATCAGAGACTGAAGAATGTAATACAGATAAAAAGATGGTCCACAATGATGCTACAAACGCATACAAAGAAGTGACAGATCAATTTATTGATATAGTTAATGGTTCTGAATCTTTAAGAGATTATGCTGCTTCCATCATTGATGAGGCTAAAGGAGATATAAATAGGGCATTGAACATCTATTACACCAAACCCAGTGAAATATCTGGTGAGCATGCAGATGAGGGAGGACTCTCTAGCAAAACAATTCAGTTTCCGCAATGTCCACAAGCATGCTCCTCTCAGGAGGGCAAAAAGGCGTCAGAAAAATCAGGATATGCAGTCAACATATGTGTGCAAACATCAGCAGAGGAAGTTGTGGACAAAAATTATATATCTCTACCTCCTGAGAAATATAAACCTAAAGAGCACGGTTGGTGTATTAATAGCAGTCTAATAAATTTTAAACCATATCAATTTTTTTTCTTAAATTTGAGAGACTTTGTATGCAAACACTTTGTTTGCAGTGTAGTGTTGTAAGAATTTTCAGCCAACTTGCATTTTTGTGTTTGGTATAATGCAGCTTGTTGGAAGGAGGGAAAACCAGCTCCATATATCCACCTTGTCCGAACATTTGCTTCCGTTGAAGGTGAAAAGGGCAAGATCAAAGCTATGTCTATGCTTTGCAACATGTTTAGAAGGTTGCCGATTCTCTTTGTTTCCCGTTCACTCTGTTGATTAAGCTGCATCAATGATGATTTCTGTATATTCTCATCCATCAGCTTGTTGGCTCTCTCTCCAGAAGATGTTCTGCCCGCTGTTTATCTTTGCACAAATAAGATTGCCGCTGACCATGAGAATATTGTCAGTTTAAGTTTTATCTTTTCTTCCTTCTCTTTTTATAGAAATAACCTTAAAGATTTTTCCGATCATGTATTCAATTGGACAGGAGCTTAACATTGGTGGAAGTCTAATCTCTTCTGCATTGGAAGAAGCATGTGGAATAAGTCGGTCTACTGTGAGAGATATGTATAATAGCATGGGGGATCTTGGTAAAGACAATTCTATTTCATCACAGTTTACTTTTGGTTGTTAATCCTTACTGTACACCCTGCTGAAACGGGCTTTAAATATCAAAATTCTCAGGGGATGTTGCTCAGCTATGTCGACAAACGCAAAAGCTACTGGTTCCTCCACCTCCACTTCTAGTTAGAGATGTGTTTTCAACTCTACGAAAGATAAGGTAAAGAGCTTAACTAGTAATGCGTACAGCATAATAGCTATTAACTGATGATACTATGTCTCTTTGAAGATGAAAATATTCAGAGGTGCGTGTTCCATCTTTCTGCTGAGATTGCTATAAGTCTATAATGGATATATGAGTTAAAGAAGTTTATACATATAACAGCATTTCTATTTCTGAATTTTATACTGGTTTGATGGTGGCTTCCCTTCTTTCTACATCTATTTCATGCATATATAGATATAAGTACTATGGATGCCTAAGACAATGATTTCTGGAATAAATTAAATGGTTTTCTGTGGTCTCCAGATAACTATTCGGGTTCTTGAAAGTAAGTGGGACAGATCTAGATGACCTTGTGTTAATTTTGACACTATTATGCTATCTTTAAATGCTAAATATTACTGATAGATTTTGTACTTAAGCAGAACCGTCTGCAATTTCTGTCTGGTAATTCGTTTAAGCTTTCTCATTTTTTACTAACATGAGGCCATTCCCACAAGCTTCTAACAGTTTTCCTCAGTGTGCAGACAGGTACTGGAAGTACTAGGCAAAAGAAAAATCTCATTGTGAAGCTAATGCGCTCTTGTAGAGAGAAAGAGATCAAATTTCTTGTTAGAACATTGGTAAGAGTTTCTCCAAAATATTTATTTCCATAATATTGTTCTTAACTTCCGTGTTCTAAGCAGTGATGTCCCTGTTCAGGCCCGTAATTTAAGGATTGGCGCTATGTTGAGAACTGTTCTGCCTGCACTTGGGCGAGCAATCGTTATGAATTCTTTCTGGCATTGCCATAACAAAAAACCATCAGAAAGCTGTTTCAGAGAGAAACTCGAGGTTTGATTTTATTATCTTTCTTCAGAAAAATTCTTTCCCTGTCACTTATCAAGTCAAGTGTGTTCAAAAGTTTATATCCAAGCGCTTATGTTGTTTGGAGGGAAATTCAAAATTTCAGGGTGTTTCTGCTGCAGTAGTTGAGGCTTACAACATTCTTCCGTCTCTGGTGAGCTTTAAATGTTAACCTTTACCTTCCCGGCTCTTTTTACTTTGCCATTTTTCACGCGAAATGACATTTTTTAAAATTTATTTGTTTGCATTGATTTTTTTTATGCGACTAACAATTTTAGGGTGACTTGATCAAGTATTAGTGAAAAAATCATGAAATCCATTTTTTCTTAATTAATATTTTTTACGAAAAAGTCGAATTCCACCTCTTTACAGCCTTCAAATTGTTTGTTCTCTGTCATACTCAGTATCGGAAACTTTTCAAATATAGACATCAATTTCAATACATTATTTGTTTCCAAACAGGACGTGGTTGTTCCTTCTCTCATGGACAAAGACATTGAGTTTTCAATGTCAACTCTGTCAATGGTCCCAGGGATACCTATAAAACCCATGCTTGCAAAGTAATTGTGCAGATCTTCACGACATCTTTGTTTGCAAGATAACGATTAGAACTGTTGATCTCATGCCTTTATTACTGTATTTTTATTGCAGAATTGCTAAGGGGGTTCAAGAATTTTTTAACCTCTTCCAGGACAAGTCTTTTACTTGTGAATACAAGTAAGTTTGTCTCAAGAACTTCTCTTAAACTACTACTCAAAACTGATAATTTTCTGATTATTAACGGAATGTCTGTCTTTTAACTCACAGCCCTTGAATCTTCTTTGCATTCTGTTAGATGCCATTAAATGTTACGATAGAGTTGATATTGTTCCATGAATTGTCTTTGCACTCTAATGATCTCCACTACTTTTCTGTGTTTCCTGAATCACCTTGCTGTTATGCCTATATATGACTTCCAGGTATGATGGCCAGCGCGCCCAGATCCATAAGTTACTTGATGGTACTGTGCGTATCTTTTCTCGGAATGGGGACGAAACAACGTCCAGATTTCCGGATCTGGTTGATGTCATAAAACAGTTTTCTTGCCCTGCCGCTGAGACATTCATGTTGGACGCAGAGGTAGAAGAATTTTCATAGAATTCACTCTATGCATCTTTATCTATCCAAACCCATCTACCATGCACAGGAAAACGAGGCTAGGGACGTTTTGCCAGTTTTCAAAATAAACATACTTGGTTTTTTATATAGGTGGTCGCCACTGATAGAATGAATGGAAACAAACTCATGTCATTCCAAGAGTTATCAACAAGAGAGAGAGGGAGCAAAGATGCTTTGATAACTACAGAAAGTATTAAGGTATTGAACACAATATCTATACAACCTTATCACAACTAAATGATTATCAGCATTTCTGTCAAAGATTTCAATAGTTATCAAGTAGATTTGTTTTATTAATTATGTTTTTACCCCTTGTTCTTTGTTGTAGTGACGGTTACAAACATGTCACTTGTTTTGAAAATTGCTTGGACATGGGGACGGGTTTTTAGGTTTTAGTATGGAAGTTCCACGTCGGTTTACATGTTAGTCCCAGGCAAAAAGGAGATTTTTGTTTGTCTGTTTTTTTAGTATGTTTGACGATTTTCTCATGAAGTTTTTCCTTTTCGTCCTATTGTATCTTTTGAATACAAATTCTTAGTCCATTGTCATTTTTTTAGTTTTTCAATATGTCTTCTAGATGTTTTTCTTTTCTTCTAATGGCTTCCTGCAGGTTGAAGTTTGCGTCTTCGTATTTGATATTATGTTCGTCAATGGAGAACAGTATGAGTCTTTTACTCACTATTTTTATTTTCATTTGCATTTATCCTAATAACTTATATGTTGAGTTGTAATTTACTTAGCTTATCAATGCAGGTTGTTGTCTATTCCCCTCCGTGAGAGACGAAGACGTACTCCCCATCATTCTCTTCTTTCCTTAACTTGATGCGTTTCATTTTCTCTACCAGGTTCATATATGCCAACTCTTATCTTACTTGGTTATGCTCGAACTTTCAGGTCTAAAGGAGGTCTTCCCTGATACTAGGCCAGGTTATCTTGAATATGCTAAGGAAATAACAGTAAGTCCTATGGTAGCTTCTCACCTAAAAGTTATAGGATAGAACGTAATTCACCGCTTCATCTGTAACTAAGTGTTTTGGTATTTTCATTGAACTGATCATTTTTTAATAGGTGGGAGCAGAAGAAGCGTCTCTGAATAATCAAGACACTCTAAGTACGATAAATGCTTTTCTTGAAGAAGCATTTCAGTCATCTTGTGAAGGAATCATGGTCAAGTCTTTAGATGTTGATGCTGGATACTGCCCCACAAAGCGCTCTGATTCATGGCTCAAGGTCTCTTTGCTGTAAATTATCTTGCTAAACATCATGTGCTGGAAATGGATTAAATTGTACTTTTTTTTTTTTGGCTCAGGTTAAGCGAGATTATGTAGATGGATTGGGCGACACATTAGATTTAGTTCCTATAGGTGCTTGGCATGGCAACGGGAGAAAAGCAGGATGGTAGTAAAAACATATTTCCCAACTTTCTATTTTTCCTAAAAAGAAAAATGTTTGAATTGGTCTTGTAGCTTTGAAGCTCAATTTTTAAGCATAAGTATACTGGTAATTTCGCAAATGCATTTTGATGAATTCTGATTTTTTTTCTGTTTTTTGTGTGTAGGTATAGTCCATTCCTTATGGCCTGCTTCAACCCTGAGACTGAAGAATTCCAGAGTGTCTGCCGTGTCATGTCTGGTTTTTCTGATGCTTTTTACATCGAGGTAGTGAAAACCTCAACTTCACTTTTGCGCTTCTCCATTCATCTAAACTTTGATGATGAATTTTATGAATTCCAACATTGTGACTAATGAGTGACATCTGGTTTATGATTTGGTAGTTTTTGGTTTCAGTTTTGTTAGTTTTTTCATAGAAGCTTAAACCAGTAGAACCCATTTGTAATTCAGTATGTGATTGGGGTTTGGTTTTCGGGTTTTTTACCTTTGTTATAAAATGATGAAACAGATCGGATAAATACATTTTGGTTCAAATTAGGTCCGGTTTGGTCTATATATCGACTTCTAATTTTGATTTATAACGATTTCAAGCGTGATTCTACTTTCTAGTATCGAGGATCATCAATACTTTGCTTATCTTGCAGATGAAAGAACTCTACTCAGGAGATAAGATCCTTGCGAAAAAGCCCCCTTACTACAGAACAGGGGAAACGCCTGACATGTGGTTTTCAGCAGAGGTGGTTTGGGAAATCAGAGGTGCGGATTTCACGGTCTCGCCTGTTCACAGTGCCGCTTTAGGTCTCGTCCATCCATCCCGAGGCATCTCCGTTAGGTTTCCGAGATTTATTCGTAAAGTAACAGATAGAAATCCGGAGGAATGCAGCACTGCTGCAGATATCGCAGAGATGTTTCATGCTCAAACCAGAAAAATGAACATCACCTCTCAATAGTAACATGCTTCCTATCTGCTTTTGGTTCGTTTAGGCGTTTTGGGTATTAAGCAATAAGCACTTTGTAAGAGTGTTTAAATAGGAACCTAACTCAAAACAAAATATTGTGACTAGTAGTTGCCAATGTTTTTGTGGTTTTTAATCGCTTTGAAAACTTATGTATAAATATTTCTACGTAAAACCATGTAAATATTTAGCCAATCTCCATATATCACTTTTTCTTTTTTGATGTCGTAAACATAAATGGTCTCCATTGGTAACATAATATGGTAATCTCTTATTGTTTTTATAGTAATGAATATACGATTAGTATGATTACCAATCACAAAAACGATAAAAAATAACGATAACAAAAATACCACCGTTATATTTCTCATACAAAAATTCCGTTAATGTATACCGTTTTCTTGTAAGAAATAATGTTGTGTTACTAATCGTATCATACATTTTTACGCAATTATGAATCCATTTTGTGTCACTAATAGGATCATACATTTTTTTTAGCAATGTTGGACATATAAATTTTCAATTTTTAGCAATTTTCCCACCTAGATTTCATGAGTTAAAGTACTCCTCCCGCCAATTAAACTTAACCGGTAATAGCCGGTCACCATTCCCACGGCAACCGGTTATAAGAAGCTTTCCCCAAAATTGAAAAACATTTCATCTTCTCGAATCGCTTCGTCTTCTCTTGAGCTTCCTCCGTTGATTTATCCTCTCCTGGGGGAAAAAAAATCGAAAAACCCTAGCTCTTCCTTCTTTTTGCTTCTCGCAACTTTATCACCTTTCGAATTGTTAAAAGAGAGAAACTTTTTTATATGGGTCTCTCTCTCTCCCGAATTTGGATGTGGGTTTATTGAAATCTAGGGTTTTTCTTCGAATTGGTTGTTGATAAGAGAATGAGTGCAATCAATATCACCAACGTCGATGTCTTGGATAATCCTGCTCCTTTTGTTAGCCCATTTCAGTTCGAGATTTCTTACGAGTGTTTGAATTCTCTCAAAGACGGTAAAAATCTCCACTTTATTGATGTTTTGCTCGGTTTATTTAGGTTTTAGTCTCTGTTGATTCTTATGGCTTGGTCCTGTTTCAGACTCTTATGATTCTTGACACCAATTTGTTGATAGTGATTGTAATTGGAACATATTGTTTACCCAATTGCTGTATTAGAGCCATGATGTTAATTAACGATTGAATGGAGTAATTTGACTAATTTGAATGTGCTAAAGACTTTAACTTTGGATTTCTTGAATACTGATAGATCTTAAGGTTGCTTGTGTTTTAGTTGGATTCATCTATGCACAAGTTCTTCTTGAGTTACATTGTTATTTGGACAAGGCTATTCTCTTGTGTGTCGAAAGTTCTCTTTTGGGCCGTTTTGCAGGGTGATATGTTTTGCCTTAATTAGTGTTTTCGTATGGTTGTTCGCAATTGATTTGAAGTTTGGCTCTGTAAACTGTGATAAAGAATGATGCATTAGTTTTCCAGCATTCATGATTCTTGGATTTGCTTAGGAATTGTTATATCTTGAGAAGATATGTTTCTGTTACTTGTCTTTATGCAATCGAAGCTAGCCATCTACTTTGATAGTTGTGATCATTTTCTTGTAAGAAAGATAATGGAAAACGATTGTTCCGACTGACCCCAGCTTTGCTTTTGGTACAGATTTGGAATGGAAACTTATCTATGTAGGCTCAGCAGAAGATGAGACTTATGATCAACTTCTTGAGAGTGTGCTTGTAGGGCCTGTTAATGTTGGCAACTACCGCTTTGTATTGCAGGTAACATACGCACTCCCTTGCTACAATCGTGGTTTACTAAGTACCAGAAAAGCCTTGGTCTAACTCTCTATTATTGTTACAGGCTGATCCTCCGGATCCATCAAAGATTCGAGAGGAAGACATCATTGGTGTCACTGTGCTATTGTTGACATGTTCTTACATGGGTCAAGAGTTCTTTAGAGTTGGATATTACGTGAACAATGACTACGAGGATGAGCAACTCAAGGAAGAGCCACCAACTAAGGTTTTGATCGATAAAGTCCAGAGGAACATACTTTCCGACAAACCGAGAGTTACTAAATTCCCTATAAATTTTCATCCAGAAGAAGAGCAGACTGACGCAACTGCCGCTCCTCCTATCGAAGCATCTGATGAACAACAACCTAATGTCAATGGTGAAGCTCAGGTTTTGCCTGATCAGCCAGCAAATCCAGAACACCAAGAATCATGATTCTTCCTTAACCCAAGTCTAGTTGAAAAAAAAGTGGATCAGAACTAATGTCTCCTTGTCACCAAAAGATGTTGCATTTTTGCTTTTCTCTATCTCAAAAGCAAGATCTCCAGTTTGATGTACTTGTTTGTGGATTTAGATGCTTTAGGGAAGTGATTGTGGACATGCTTTCTTTTTTTTGGGCAAAGATTTAAATCGTAGCAAAGCCAACATTAAGTTTGAAGGTAACAAAGATGGTCCATTTTGAGGCAGTTTTTCTGAACCGTAATGTCCCAAACCCGCGATCTGTTGAAATAATTTCCTGTTTGAATGATTCATTTCTTAGGTTTCGAAAATTGTTCCTTACGCAAATTAGTGAGAATTTTGATAGTGATTCGCTACTAGAATTTTCGAATGATCCTTTCTTTTACTGGGTATTTTCGAGTAATAGTTTTGAGTTCCCGAATATCCTAAATTGGTAGACCGAAGTAACATGCTCCAATCAACTAATTGCGGAAAATCACTAAAAAATTAGTGAGCCGCCAGTCGATGCGGTTAGCAAACAAACATGACCATAGTAGAGCTATTTTCTGATAAATTCATAAATAAAAAGCTCGTTTCATAAACATTTGTTAAGTTGATCCTGACACAAAACATTGATAGTTTTGATAGTAATTAGCTCCCGGAATTTTTCCGAATTTTAAACTAGGTAATACTTTTAAGTTTCCGAATATCCTAAATCGACAATTTGATAGACCTAGGTAACATGCTCCAATCGAGTTCCGCACGATAAAAGAAAAGAGATTTTTTTAGATATAGTAGGGTTGTTTCTGATAAATTCTGAAATAATAAGTTCGTTTCATAAAATACCAAAAATTATGGGAAAAAATTGAAACCAAAAGAATCTAATTCCTTAAAAGTTCGTCACTTGCCCTCGTCTTCGTCACCGGAGAAATCAAAACCCAATGTCGAAATCCAACGAAAACCAACCAGTTGATCGTTATCTCCGCCGTCAAATCCTCGGAGAAGGAACATACGGTGTCGTTTACAAAGCCACCGACACAAAGGTAAAACCCAAAATCAAAACCCTTCTCGATTTCAATCTTCATCAGATTTTAAAAAAGTTTCGATTTTTCAATCTCGTAGACTGGAAAAACTGTAGCAGTGAAGAAGATAAGATTAGGAAACGAAAAGGAAGGCATAAATTTCACAGCTTTGAGAGAGATAAAGCTATTAAAAGAGCTGAATCATCCACACATTGTTGAGCTCATTGATGCGTTTCCTCACAATGGAAGTTTGCATTTAGTTTTTGAGTATATGCAAACGGATTTAGAAGCAGTGATTCGTGATCGTAATATCTTTTTATCACCTGGTGATATTAAGTCTTATATGTTGATGACTTTGAAGGGTTTAGGTTATTGTCATAAGAAATGGGTTCTTCACAGGTAAAGATGTTGAACAAGTTGTGTTTTGGTTTATAAAGGTTTGATTTTGATAAATGAGTGTGAGAGTTTGTTTGTTGTTTGTGTTTGGTAGGGATATGAAGCCGAATAATTTGTTGATTGGAGAGAATGGTTTGTTGAAGTTAGCTGATTTTGGTTTGGCGAGGTTGTTTGGGAGTCCGAATCGGAGGTTTACTCATCAGGTATGTATCCTGTGATTGGTAAAATTGGTAGATAGATTTGTCTAGGATTTGTAGTGAAGGTGAAAGGTTGGTGGTTCGACGAGTCATTGGATACAATGTTTTTGATGATGTATTGGAGTTTTTCTGCTGGAGATGAAGAATTGATACAGACTTGTTGAGAAGAAATTATGTGTATTGCAAAGTCATTAGATAGATACCATTTTGGTGAGGTGGGAGATTTGAAGTCATTAGATACCATGTTGTTGTTTACAGTCATATTAATATTTTGACTCTAGAAGATTCTGAAATTGATTGGTTATGTAGAAACCTTTTTGGTGGATTGAAGAATTGAGACAGACATATGCTTGCTATGTTATTCGGTTTTGGTGAGGTAGAAGATTGGTAGTTACGAGTTACCTGATTTTGAGATTGATTGGTTGTGGTGTGTTGGTTATATTTATGTATCTGCTTGTGGAAAACTCGTTAAGGTTAATTCGGATCTAAAAATACTTATTCACACAGGTATTTGCTACATGGTACAGAGCGCCTGAGTTGTTATTTGGGAGTCGACAGTATGGAGCAGGAGTTGATGTTTGGGCTGCAGGTTGTATCTTTGCTGAGCTATTACTTCGTCGACCATTTCTACCGGTAATGTTCTATACTTCTCGTACGATACATGTTTCCAAAGGTTTTTCAAAACATGTCCTGTACTTCAGGATTGTCTTGATATTCTTGATCATTTAGTTACGTAGCCAAGAAGAGACATCACTTTGCAAGGATATTGTCAAAACCTCTTCCTATGTTTCTGCATCAATAGATTAGATCTCTGAACAGCTTTAAGTGACCTTGACTACGTTTGTTTCTGTAGGGTTCGACTGAGATTGATCAACTTGGAAAGATCTTTCAAGCTTTTGGAACTCCAGTACCTTCCCAATGGTCTGACATGATCTATCTCCCAGACTACATGGAGTTCTCTTATACACCTGCTCCACCATTACGTACCATTTTCCCTATGGCAAGCGATGACGCTTTGGATCTTCTAGCCAAAATGTTCATCTACGACCCACGACAAAGGATCACAATACAGCAAGCTTTAGACCACAGGTAAACTCTTGAAAGAGAAACTCACGGGACGAAAATTCCATTTCATCTCTCTGATTCTCATCCTTTTTTTTATCAGGTATTTCTCGTCTTCTCCATCACCGACTGAGCCAGGAAAGCTTCAGATTCCGGCTTCAAAAGGAGACGCACTCGAACCAAAGGCCTCCGAGCAAAACCAACACGCAAATAGCCCGGCCGTACTGTCACCTCCTGGTAAAATGAGGAGAGTAATGGGTCCTGAGGGATTCACTTGAGAAGATAATGTTTAATTTTTTGTTTTCCTACAGTATCATCACTTGTGGAGGTATATGGCTTTGATTCTAGAATCGCGTTTTGTAACACCTTTCTTCAAATTAGTTACCAATCAAAAGAATACAAAGTATCAACTTACAAAGAAATGAGAAGCCATATTTTGATGTCGGCCATGTGTAACATCTGTTGAAGTCAAATTCCTCCGAACCTTAACGGAATAACAAAATAATTATTAACTCAACAAACTGAAATAGAGAATGTTTTCGTAAAATAATTATTAAACGTTACAAAGCTAGTTTTGGTAGATAAAGATTATACGTGTTCAAAACGTGAAACGGAGAACAAATACCATTAACCAGTTCAACTTTGTAATTTTTCTGAGACAATTCATTATTTGAATTTTAAAATGGATCCTTTTTTGCCCTTTAAGTACCTAGACGGTTCCATATGTGATATACACGTAAGTGTCTTAATCAATGCATGGTGAATTGGTGATCGTATATTCATATTGTGATTATTATTCATAGAGAAGCAGCTTGTTGTATTATAGCCTATACAGTATAGGGTTTATATCTGCAATTTCCGATTTCCACTCGGATCTTGATTTCATTTAACGTTTAGTTATAAATGCACTACATCCTCACACTAAACATTCTTTCCATGAACCAAGAATAACAAATTTTCTCAATTAATATAGTTTATAGGAAAAAAAAACCAAAAAATTCACTCTTTTGAGGTCAGATGGACTGTTTTTGTAGTCAGTATCAACTTTGTTTCTTTCTAAAACAACTAATGTACTTTCTCTTTCTCTAAGACATCATTCTTAATTTGAAGTTAAGAATGGATCCTTTTTTTTCCTTTGTACCTAGACGGTTCCTTATGCGGTATACACGTAAGTGTCTTAATCAATGGTGATCATTGTCATATTGTGATTAATAATATTCATTGAGAAGCAGTGATCTTGTTGTATAGGGTTTTACAATATATCTGCAATTTGCCAATTTCCACTCCTATTGGTGATCCATACAAAGCCATAAATATTTTATTGGCCCACTAATTTGTAGAATAAAAATCAAACTGGTACACATGAACCAATATCCCTCACTACCTTGACCCTACATTCGTTTTAGTAACCAAAATTTTCACAAAAGATGGCCTTATTAAAAAAATCTATATTTGTCGTTTTAAGGTTATATGATTCTATTTACTTAATCTTAGCATTTGGAACTCAGAGTTTGGACATAGACCGCGACCTACCCATGAGAGACACGAGTTAAACTATGAATTTAGAAGAAAAAAAAGTATTAAACAAAACAAAAAGGATTTAGTAGTTAGCCAACCACAAATCGACCTTTCTCAGATGATCCCTAAAAACTGAATGGTGGCTAAAATTATGCCACTTGGCGTAAGTAGTTGAGGCAGTGATGCGGCGATATTATCCATATATAAATGTATGAAGCCAAAAAAAAAGATAGTACTAAACATTTTCTCTGATTTTAGATGTTAAGACGAGAATTCAATGTTTTCCGACAGTGTGTTGAAAGTTTTCTCTGTCAAGTCTCGACAATTAAATGAACGTGCATTAAAAACCAAGGTTGGCTCTATCAATCGGAAAAATGAGAATAGTTTGAAGCGGCCATGTATTTAGGCATGCAACTTCGGTTAAAGGAACTGAATCGAGCCGGTTATTTTCGGCTATTGATTAACGAAAGTATTTCTACAGGGTTACCAAAATTAACCTAAAAGAAATTCGGTTCGATTCTTGGTTAATTATAAGTATTTGTTTTTGTGAATTTTCGCATAAAAACTATTGGAGTTTTGCGTTACTTCGATACTATAGTAATACATTTTCCAACTTTATTGATTTCCTACTATTTATTTAGAGAAATAGTAGCATATGTCAATCATTTGAATTTTTTTTTTTGTCAACCATTTGAATATTAATGCATCAATAATGAATACTTTAAAATTACATCACCCTTTTCTTCTGTCCCGCCATCTTTTATTGCTTCTAAGGGCTTGATTGGTTCTCCCGCTACCACCCGCAAACGCTGCGTTTGCGGGCGGTTGCGGTTGCTAGCGTTTAAAACCAATCATAAAAAACGTTTTATACCGCTCCGAACCCCTCTAGACCGCTCCGAACCGCTGAATTCAAAAGCTCCTTCCCGCAAGCGTTTGCGGTTGCGGGCGGTAGCGGTTGGCAAAATTTGTTTTTTTTTTTAATTCAAATCCTATATATATATTAAAAAAATACATAAATAACAAATAAATTTAAAAAAAAGCTGAAAAAAAATTAAAAAAAAAAATTATCAAACCCTATATATATTAACGTTAATTCTCAACACCCTAATTTTTTTCTATTTACCAAAATTATGGCGTCAATCTAAACTCAAGAAGCACAAAATACAAACAAAGTATTGTAATAAAATTATTAATCCAGAGGATCTAAGAATTCAAAACATCTATTTTTTTAGTTTGTCATATTGTTTTTTTTGTAATTTGTTATATTACTTGATGCTGTTTTTTTATGAACCAAATGCATGAAGTAATAAGCACTTAACTATGAAATATATTATTTTAATTATGTAGTAATTTTATATATTTTATTATTATTAATTATATATAAATTGTTTTGTATTTTATCATAATAATATAAATATTTGGTGTTTTTATACTTTATTATATAATTATAAATTATATTTCTTTTGATCATTTTCGATTTAACCGTTGTCGCATCCGCTGGTTAACCAGTCATAAAACTCCCGCAAACGCACCAATTTTCAACCGCTTAACCAGTCATTCAAAATGCATCACAACGCTTGAAACCGCAACCGCCCGCTTCCGCAAACTCCCGCAGACGCAACCGCACCTGCTGCGTTTAAACCAGTCAAGCCCTAATTGTATTATTTTGTTTTATTATTATCTCTTACTGCCAATATATATGTAAATTTTAAACTATCACTTACACTTTAATAAGTATTTGGGATTATTACACAGATTTTGCCATTTTTTGGAATGTTATTTATGGATTTTGTCATTTTTTCTAAAACTTTCCGGATTTTTCATTTTTGAACATTTTAAAAATTCAAATTTACGATTTTATCTTGCTAAAATACAAATTTTATAACAAATACTAAACGCTAAGAACAAATAAAACTGATTAAACTCAAATATAACGGGTAAAATTAATACATGTTAAAACTTATTTTTATAGTTTAGAAAATAACAAATCTATAAGATTTTAGTGAAAATAGCAAATTCACAAATGTCACTCGAAAATATGACAAACTCATAACTGATTCAAAGTACCTTGGCAAGACAAATGACGATACAAACCTTTATATTGCAATATCTTTTTATTTCGTTAGAGTCTTTTTTTTTTTTGGGCAAATTTATTTCTTTGGAGTCTAAACTAAACAATTACACATGAGATAACATGGTGTACCGCAATAGTACAACGTTACCAATCAAATAAAGTTTTGACAATACCTTTGATTTGGTTTGAAGAATGCAACCACCAGTAACTACTAACTAGTGTGCAAAGATTGCTTATAGTGTGGCCGAGGGATATGACTTCTATGCTTCGCCGAAACAACTCTTTTGAAATAGATATCAACTTCACCAATAGGATCTCTTCATTGATTAGATTCATAAAGTTATTCCATGTCAAAGAGAAAAAAACAAAGAGATAGTTGGATTAATCAAGATGCATGAAGTATGTGGTTTTGCTTCTTTTTTTTTAATCAAGTGAACGTAAATATGAAGTCGTGTACATGTGATTAGAGTTTGTTTAACATAGAGTAGAAAAAAGAAAGTTGAATCTATCAAAAAGCTCTGTATACTATTAATTATTTCTTCCAACAAAGGATGTCAGAACCCATTATTTATGCTTTTTTCAACAACTTCTGTTTTTAATTTATTTTTTGATAACTTCGACGAGGATAAGTAACCAAATGGCTTCCTATTATTCAGTGTGTATAATGCAGTTCTTGACTGTAGTACTCTCAATTGGTTATCACGGATAGTTAACACATATTCTCGGTTATCACTTTTAAGGTTATATATTGAAACAAATGTCACAAAAATCCCTAACTATGCAAAATTTTTAAAAATCATCAACTTTGCATGTGATAAAATATATATTCAATTTTTTAAATTAAATCGTAAATTTTTGTTGATTCTTCATTTTAATCGTGAACTTTAGTAGACTTTACCAAAATAGTCACGTCGTGAATTTGATTAGCTGAATAAATTAACAGAATTAAGTCTCTGCTGAAAATCTCATTTTATGGATTATATATATTTTCAACAGAAATGTATCACCGCTAAGTAATCGAGTAACGTACATCTATTTTGTTAACGAAATTCAGTTATTTTGATATATAGTAAAAAGGTCTCGTGAGATGGATTTATTGATACTAAACCAAAAACTTTATTTGTTTAGAAACATATCAACAAATTCTTAATTCTTAACCTTAGCGGTCCACTAAGACTAATTTTAAATCTTATAAAAAGTTGTTGTTGAATAATATTAACTCTGTTTCAAAATATATGATGTTTAAGGTTTTGTACATAGATTAAAAAATATTTTATTTTTTGTTTATTTATAAATTAAAATATTATTTATTAATATCTACATACACATGATTCAACTAAAGATAAAAAAATTACAGAATATAAATCGTCAAAACTAATAAAAGTTAATTAATTTTGCACTGATAATTGAAAACATCATATAAGATGAAATACAAATTTTTCTCTAAAACATCATATATTGTGAAACAAAAGAAGAATAAAGTTCGATAGTATTTTCTTAACAATGATTCTAAAAACTAAAACTTTAGCTTGCAAATTATTAATAAATAAAATTATTAGACTATTTTTTTTTTGTTGAATGAATGTAAAATTATGTTCAACAAAAAAACTGTTTTATAATAAATACGTCAAAGAGAGTATAATTTATATAAAATAAAAATATATATTTTAAATTTTAGTTTTCACTAATTTGAAAACAATAGCGAAGGCTACCATCATAGGCATCTTGCGTTCGAATGGTACTGAGATTGTTTCTTAGAGCATACACATTGGTGCACTCTTTACAAGAGTGTGACTAATATTAAAACGAAAAATATTGAAAAA